AGCCATTCGACCCGTTAACCTTTGCACGGCTTTCACGCTATCCACGACCTTGATATCTTCGATGGACTTGATTTTATCGGGGTTAATCTCGATACCTCGGTTTGACACCATGAAGCCGAGGAATTTACCCGAACTGACTTCGAAGGCACACTTCTCCGGGTTAAGCTTCATGTTGTATTTCCTCAAGATTTCGAATGTTTCCTGCAAATGAGCCAAATGGTCCTCTGCGTGTAGGGACTTAACCAACATATCATCAATATAGACTTCCATTGTTTTACCTATCTGTTCTTCGAACATTTTGTTAACTAAGAGTTGGTATGTAGCTCCTGCATTTTTAAGCCCGAAGGGCATGACGTTGTAAAAGTAAGTTCCAAATTTAGTAATAAATGAAGTCTTTTCCTGGTCTTCTGGGTTCATCTGAATTTGATTGTACCCGGAGTAGGCATCAAGAAAAGTTAAGGTCTCATGGCCAGCCGTGTCATTCGGTCGATGTTTGGTAATAAGAAAGAATCTTTACATGCTTTGTTCAAGTCCTTATAGTCTACACACATTCTAAGCTTGTTTCCTTTTTTAGGAACTACAAATACGTTGGCTAACCACTCGGGGTACTTTACCTCCCGAATGGATCCTATTTTAAGAAGTTTAGTTACCTCGTCTTTTATGAAGTCATGTTTTGCCTCGGACTGAGGACTCTTTTTTTGCTTCACCGGTTTGAACCTGGGATCGATGCTCAGCCGATGTGTGGTGATTTCTGGTGGAATCCCTGTCATATCTAAATGGGACCAAGCAAAGAAATCCATATTATCAATAAGAAATTGAATGAGTTTTTTCCTGAATTCGGGGGTTAATCCCGTTCCCAGGTATACCTTTCTCTTGGGTGGATATTCGATAAGTATGACCTGCTCTCGTTCCTCGACAGTTGACTTGGTTGCATCAGACTCTTCAGGAATGACGAAGGTTCGAGGGGTAAGGAAGTCCTCTTCATCTTTGATTACCTGTTGTTCTATCTCCATCGAGGCTGGGGGCTGTGATTGATATTTAGCCGCCTGCTTATCCTCGGCGCTTGATTTCTCCGAGGTCAAGGGTTCTGGAGTCGGCGCCACTTCCTCGATTGCAAACATCTCCTTTGCAGCATATTGCTTCCCGTAGTCTATTTTTACTCCCTCCTCCATTAGAAACTTCATCATCTGGTGAAGAGTTGAAGGCACTGCCCTCATGTTGTGTATCCACGGTCTCCCGAGGAATGCGTTTTACCTCATGTCGCCTTCGATGACATGGAACTTCGTATCTTGTATGGTCTCAGCTACATTTACTGGCAAGATAATTTCTCCCTTTGTTTTTTCGCTTGCCATGTTGAAGCTATTCAGGACTCGGGATGCAGGTACAATATGATCTTGTAGGCTAAGTTGTTCCACGACCCTCGATCTGATTATCTTTGCTGAGCTACCTGGGTCCACTAAAACACGTTTACCTTGAATTTTATTCAAAAAGATAGAGATTACCAGGGCGTCGTTGTGAGGCTGAGATATGCCTTCCGCTTCCTCGTCATAGAATGATAAGACTTCCTTGGGCACATAGCTCCGAGTCCGTTTTTCTCTGGTGACTGATACTTTGGTACGCTTGAACACAGGTCGTTAAGGGACATCGACTCCGCCAATGATCATGTGGATTACATGTGGTGGTTCTTCTTGTTCATTTTTCCTGGCATCTCCCTCCCTGAAGTGATTCTTAGCCCGATCACTTAGAAATTCTCGAAGGTGGCCCTCATTGAACAAATGAGTCACTTCTTCCCTCAGCTGTCTGTAGTCTTCTGTTCGATGACCATATGTGCCGTGATATTTGCACATTAAGTTCGGGTTTCTTTTAGAAGGATCAGTCTGTATAGGCCTGGGCCACTTGGTGTCTTTGATTATCCCAATAGCTGAGACAATCCCGGACGCATCTATGCTGAAGTTGTACTATGATAATCGGGGAGCCTCTGCGGGGTCGGTATGTTTTGTCGAACCCGCTCTTACTCATGATTCCTCGAGAACTTTGGCCTCGATCGTTTCTCCGATTGCTCCGAGGAGTGTTACGGCTCGGTCCGCTGTTCCTCCGGTCCGCATATGGCTGATACCATTCTTTGTTGAATCTTGATTCCCGGTCTGTGTCCCTCGGGGGATTGGCTGCGAACTTGTTAGGGTGAACTGAACCCGAGGGGGCTCCCAATTGATCGTCCTCAACCCTAATTTTAGATTGGTAACAGTTGTGTACATATGACCACGTCACGGCCGGATACTCGATCAAGTTCTGCTTTAACCGTCGAGAAGCAATCGAGCTCCGCTCATTCAAACCCAGCATAAAGGCATGTACTGCCTAGTCATCGGAGACCGGTGGTAGTTCCATTCTTTCCATCTGAAACCTGGACACGAACTCCCTCAGCATCTCGTTGTCCCTTTGTTTTATCTTGAAAATGTCTGATTTTCTTATGGCCACTTTTATGGCCCCGACATGTGCTTTCACGAAGGCGTCTGCTAACATAGAAAATGAGTCAATAGAGTTAGGAGATAAGTTGTGATACCAAATCATGGCTCCTTTCGACAATGTTTCTCCGAACTTTTTCAATAGGACTGATTCGATTTCATCATTATTCAAGTCATTTCCTTTGATCCCATAAGTGTATGAAGTAACATGTTCATTAGGTTCGGTTGTCCCGTTATATTTGGGTATGTTGGGCATGCGAAATTTCTTAGGAATGGGCATCGGAGCTGCGCTCTGAGGGAATGGTTTTTTATGAACTTTTTGGCTTCTAGACCTTTCAAAACTGGAGGTGCCCCCGGTATCTAGTCTACACGGGAGTTATAAGTCTCCAACTTCTTATCGCTATCCTCAATTTTTTTTCTCCGGACTCGATACTCTTAGTGAGCTCTTCGAGCATTTTCATAATGGTGGGGTTAGCCCCCGAGTCGTTTCCATTTGGCCTTTCTGGCGTTGGTTCAGCGCGTCGATTGTTTTCATGTTCAGCTACACTCGGGGTCTTATTTTGACTTTGAAGTTGAGCAATGGCGATTTGCTGAGCCTGCAACATCTCAAATATCACTTGGAGGCTGACTCCCCCATCTCCTACTCCTGGCGTTCCTTGGCCCCTAGTTGGTCATCCCTGCGTACACTCCCTTCGAGGTCTGTGCCTAGGTTGGTTTTTATAGCAATATGAGAACCAATATCAACTGGTTCCGTGTTTGGCACTTCCCCAGGGTTTACCGGTGGTGCACCGACCCTTACATTGTTGTTCTCACCTAGACCTTCGTTGTCATGAACATGAGCATTTTGTGAGCTAGACATGTTTCATCCTGAAAATCAAAAATTCTTGACAAGAAAAAGTGTAAAGATAACGTGTGTAATAAGAATCAGTAAAGAAATAATCACTATTATCTTTAGCCCCACGGTGGGCGCCAAACTGTTTACCTCGAAAGTACGAGTAACAATTAAATTTGATTTTGTAGTTTTAAAGATACGTGATTTAGTATACCGACTAATAATCAAGAAGTATGAAGTAGAAATGAAAGAGAAAAGTGAATCAAACCTATGTTACTTAGCAGTAGTGACCTCGAGGTAGGCTTGGAATAATAAGAACAATTAAGTAAATAAAGTAAAGTAAGAACAATAGAGCTAAAGGACATGTTGATGAACAGTACGCGAGAAAGGTAGAGAGTATATTATTTGCTCAGTGATCAGATGATGTTACAAATGATTGGGGTCCCCTTTATATAATAGGGCAACCCTAAATAAGGAATATTTCCATTTACAGTAGGGAATATTCTTGATACAGCTGTCTAACCGCCTAGTACGGAGTCGTACAATCTTGTTCAGGGATTTGTGCCGCGATTATGGGGACGTGGCAGGAATCTAGCTCATTCTGTTACAAATTCCTAACGGTACTATTTCGGGGTCGAGTATACTCGGGCCTGGTCCTCCTCGTACCCCTGTCTCCGGGCATTGCACTCTGTCTTTGAGCTTGCCTCTGGTCTACCGGTCTCGAACTCGACCTTGCCTGAACTTGGGCCTATGACGGACCCTTGATCCTGTAAATCGAAGGCCTCTGATTTTGACCGTATACAACCTTCTTTCTCCAAGATTTCATTACTCATATTCTTTCTTCAAGATTTCATTAGTTCCACGGTTCAACAATACTTTTAAGCTTCCAATAATTGTATACTTCTATAAAATCATATCTAAGATCAACAATAACTCAAGAAAGATTAAATGAGTTGGCTATTGAATAAGAATAATTAGAGAAAATCGATTATAGAAAAGATTATTAACAACTTTGCATTTCAAAAATCTAGTAGAATAGACATCAAATAAAAACATATGTTATAACGTTCTTTTAAAAATTTAGGCCTCATATTAAACTTTGGCCTTAGGCGCCGCATATCCTTGAGCTGCCCCTGTTGGTACTGGATGATGAATCCAAAATTAATTTGGATAGAGGTATTTCACCTTTGCACGTTTTCCTTTTTTGCTCGGCGTATATATAATTTAAATCGGAACAGAATTCTAGTTGTAGGTGATTTACAATTATATCCTTAAATTATACAAATATTTAAGAGCATAAAAGTCCATCAATATTTTAAGGATATATATATATATATATATATATATATATATATATATATATATATATATATATAAATGTTTTAGAACTATAAAGTTAAAAAACTTAATTATTTTTAATACAAATTGTGTTATAGTTGACACGAGCACTATTACACGTGCATTGATCGCTCTAATATCGCAAGCGACATGGTTTACTTTAATCATAAATACTAATTAGAACACGAAGATACAAACCAAACCAACACGGCCATCTCCTCTTTTCAACTCTCATTCTGTAACCCGGTCTACACAAAAGAAATATTAAGTTTTTTGGTGAACATTTATAACCTTTAATATGTGTATGGGTGCAAAATGCAAATAGTTGTTAAAGAAATCAAGACCAAAGGCTGCAAAGGTACGAAGAGTAAACAAATTTTCAAGGAGCAAAAAGTACTTTTTAGAATTCCCAGAGTAAAAGCTTCATACAAAGCGTTAAGGGGCAAACATTTAGTTTGAAGGCCCCAGCCGAAAAATTTGGAAGTGGGAGGCTCAGCTGAATATCAGATCTCTGTATGTTTGTTCATGGTACAAGGAGGCACGAATCCTATACAAAGACTAGTAGTACACAGTAAATAACAGATGTACAAATCCATGGCGATGACCAAAGCTCGGTGTTAAATCACTTGTTGAACTAAAACAGTAATCTGAACAGATAAAACTGCACAACTTCACTTCTTGGCGGAAGATCTCCAGTTAGGGAGTCAGAAGCTTCAATTCAAATTGGGGGAGGACGCCCATCAATTGCTCTCATCAATCTAAAAATTGCAGCAATGAGCCTTACCCTTGAGCAAATTGTTCCACAGACAGAACATCTGTCGTGGAGACTGATAATGAGCCGTGAAATAATCTTCCATACATCCATATTGACAAAACTTCCAGTTGTGAGAGTACTGTACAGGAGTGGAACTGTTATACTTCTCAACCCACATACCCATGCTCACATCCTCCATTTTGAAAAGCTGTCAAATTGATGGGGAAAATGCGTAATTCAGTACTGACGCTTATATCATGTTCATGATTTAGGAAAAAAAGAAAGAATTCAGCGGTGACAAACCCGTAAGCTTCGGTTCCGATATTGAGAAATGATATGTTTGGCAATATCACTTGATATTATATACCCTGGCCCATTAGCATAAGGGGGATATACATCTTCTGGCCACTCCTATTGCACAAGTCCATATTTCGAAATTAAATCAGTGTCTATAAGAAATCAACAAATGATAGCCATGAATTTTGAATTTATACTCCAATTATCATTTAAATCTCTGTACCTCAAATGATACAGCCCATTTTCCTGTTCGAAGTGGTCGATGCAAGAGATTAAGATTACCCATGTAAAGAGATCGTCTAGGAGGAACACGTTGAATTTCTCTAAGGACTGCATCTATCCTCACAAAATTATCGTCGTCACATTTCATGATATATGCAGCTGTCACATTCTGAACCTGCAAGAGATATTATGTGCCATGTTGATAGAAATTAGGATGTGACTAAGCAGTTCAGGAAAGAAGAGGAAGATGGAGCAGAACTGCAGAACTCACCCCATACTCGCAGATGGCAATAGTTTTCAGGACCACTAGCTCGTATCTGTCGATAAAGGGGACAATCACAATGTCCCCAAAGTAATCTGCTTCCTTCTTCAATATAGCATTCAACTCCTTTCGTGGATTCTACAAAGTTAATTATTAATACATAAGTAAGCAGATGCATTGGGATTCAACTCCAAACTGGCTATCTTCAACGATGATAGCAGAAGTTCTATAAATAATAAAGTTGGTAAAAGGGAACCTAAACATAAAGTAGTACTGAAGGCAATAGGACAACCTTTGTCCTGTTCGTGTTTTCTCCTTTACTCAAAAGCCACACTACTTTCAATTGACCAACAACAACAACAACAACCAAAACCCAGTATAATCCCTATCTATAAAAAATATTCCAATGAAAGCACCTCAGAAGTCCAAGAATAGAAATGGCATTACTACTTCCTAGTGAACACCATGTAGGGCAAGTCAATTCCTCCCAAAAGATGAGAAAAACTATGTAACAAGCATGCAGTATGCTCCAGGGATAGCCATGAGGGATCTTCCCAGTAAGTTAAATACATGGGAGCTGATCTTAGCTAATATCTATTATTCGGCTACTTATGAATACAGTAGTAGTCAACTTGAGAAAACAGTCCTGCGATCCACCTGAAAAGGGGAGAAGTTGATTGCAATATACTAATAATCCACGGTATCCACCTAATGCAACTAGGAACTTATTTAATTTTCTAGTCCTTTTAATTGGAATAAGTTTGGTGCTTTGTCCTTTTACAAGGCTAATATCCCAAAGTTTGTTGGAAATTAATGCCAAATTGTCTCTCCTCCCTTATGCTTAAGCATCACCGTAAGTTGCTTCCACTTGAGTTTCCTATAGGCTCTTCTCATTAAACAATGTTAGTCACACACAAAGACATTAATTACGCAGGTAAAATACTCAACATGCTTTGTATGTAAACAAACACAATCATGCCGCTCAGACCAATCATTCATATAATCAAATGTTTAAATGCATTCACGAGGTGTGCCTCCTGATCAGGTAAGCAAATTTGCCCTCATCAGATTCTATTTTCTTTATTCAAAAAGTTGGATGTTCTAGAATGGGTAATCAATCCACTACAGTCACACATGTTAGTAAAATATGAAGTACTTGCAAAGTTTAACCAAAGAGTGTATTTTAATAAATGTTCCTTTTTTTTTACATTGAGGTGAGAGGATTACAAGGTGGGGAATCGAACCCGACCAACAAGGTTAAAGTTCAGGTAGTTAACCAATTGGGCTACCGTGATTCCCCATTGTTCTCTTCTTTTCTATACATTTTCCCTCTCTATAACTACGGCATTTGTCACTGGTAGTCTGCCATACCTTGCTAACCACTAATATAATGTTTGTGCATATTTAGTAAAATTTAGGATTTTCACCTAAGATTCAGCACCTAGAAAGGTCAGCATAGATCATCACCTCGGGACTCCCTAAACTTGGCACCGTTTATTCAGTGCACACCTGCACTTTTTTGTCCTAATTACCCCCCTTAACTTGGCAATTTGATAGCCTTCATCCCCTGGACGCAGACTTGGCAAAGTACACTCTCTTTTAGGCACGTGGGAGTGAAGAAAATTTGAAAAAGCAGCTTCCAAGTGGGGTATTTTTCAACTGTTAATTGTCACATAGTCATATACAATGATTTATTTGTTCCAATTGTGTATTTCTTCTTACTTCTTATATTAATTTACCATGCATGCTTTACTTCAACTTTGTTTTTCTATTTCTTCTTTAGGTGCAATGGCTATTTGTTACAACTGTGTATTTCTTCTTTTCGGGCCAACAACAACAACAAGCCCAGTGAAATCCCACAAGTGGGGTCTGGGAAGGGTAAAGTGTACGCATACCTTACCCCTACCTTATGACGGTAGAGAGGCTGTTTACGAAAGACCCTCGGCTCAAATATGTAAAAAGACTTGAGAAAATGGAATTCCAAACATGTTTTTTACAAATTTGGCCTGAAAAAAGATGATCCAAAAAATTAATGATTTTCAGCTCATAGATACTTGTCCGGTTTTGCTAATTCCAATAATCAACTTATCAAAAAAGCAGTTCAATGAACAGCCTATTCCTTAACCTATTATTTGACAATCTCCATTAATCACCTCACCAGAATTAAAGTTTATTGGAGTTTAAAATGTTGTAATTACGAGGAATACTTGACTGCATTTGAGGTCCAAACTTTTTTAGGCGGATCAATAGTTATGCTTAACATGAGGTTGAGCCACATCTATCTTTTATTTGGGTGGGCGACATACCAATGCAACAAAGAAGCGGACTGCTATATCTGAGGACTTAATTGCTGAAGCCTGCATCCACGTTTTCCTGATTGCCATACGCTCAGCAAAGTGATTGGTGGCAGAAAGCACACCAATAAAAATTTGAATGCGATTCTGGGGTAAAGGAGGAGATTTCCACTTCTCTGAGAAGTCCAACACTCTTTGAGGAGAAAAACTTGGATGAGAGGTTGGTAGAGACGTAGCATAAACCGAATGTATATCTACATCACCTCTGATTGCCAACCCTGTAGCATCTTCCAGTGTAAAGCCCTGAAAGAATAGGGAACATTTAATTAAGGCTCACAAGTATAGTAAGGTAATAACATGAGTGAGGAAACTAAAACATTAATTCCAGAAAATCTGGTGATCATATTAATTGCAAGGATTACAAATTCGGTAAACTGGTTAAGGGTTTCTGAAAAGGGATCAAATACTAGGATATATTTGTGTCTACAGTTCATTTTAGTACGGTAATATTTGTATGGGTGAAAGATTTGAATAGTAGTTTGATATCCAATGTGCCCTTTTGTATAAGGAAAATTTATGCAGTGGATATTCAATGGTAATCATGACTGGCACAGCAGTCCAAGAATCTTAAATGTGCTAACTCTCAAGTCAATTTCAAGTGCAACGCCTTAAAAATGCTCTCCTTCACTAGAGACTTGCTCAGTAAGCAGAACAGTTACATGTCTACCAAGAAAACCTGCAAAATTGTTTGGAAGAGCGCAAGGAGCTTACAGTTCGATACGGAAATGATGTCACGTGCCGGCCGCCTACATTGATATGGTAGCCATCAATACCAGCACGAATAGTAAGAATAAACATCCTACCCTCCACAAATGGGAAAGGCCATGTCACCTCTGGTTTCTTTGCACGTCCAATGAATCGATCAAACCATGAGAATATTTTCGACTCTCGAGTATCAACAATGTCATTCCGCATCCACTTCTCACATCTCAAATATCCATCAACTGCCATGAAAATAAAATTCAAAAATTAAGCTTTAGTGGCCTAACAATGTCATTCCGCATCCAGTCTCAAGTGAAATATATACTATATCATAAGGTGAAAAAAATCCGGCCAAGTTATAAATAAATAGAAGGAACAGAAGTGATGTCCAGGAAACTAAATTAAAACCAAAAAATTTAAGCTTTAGTCGCCTAAAAATATTTAACTAAACTATGCTGAGGGAGTTGGGGTAAAATGATATATAAATGTAGTTTTCAGGACAAAAATGTTATATGCAGTTGTTAGTGGTCAACATGTGAAAATGGTTATTATCAGCTTGTTAATCAAACTAGGTCGACATTTCTATAATTTCAGGTAGATTTTCAAGTATCTGCACAATCTTGTGTGATTTAATATTGGATGTTGCAATATAATGTGCTTGACAATAGGCCTAATTTTGCCTTAACAGTCACATTTGTAAAGTCCACGGGAAGTATACTTTCAATATGTGAGCAGCACTTGATAAAGAAGAGTTCATGACCTAGTATTCAAAAGAAGAGGAGGTGATAGCAGCATGTCTAGGGGGTTTACACCAGACATCTGCCTAAGGAGCATTGGAAGCTATGGGAGACCCCACATGAAGATCAAGGCCCTTTTTGGGAAGAATTGAAGGGTGACACAATTTCAAGTGGAAATGTGATCACACGATGTGTCCTGCAGTAAGAATTGATGGGTGACACAATTTCAAAAGGAAATGCGATTGCACGACATGGTTGTGACCGCAGGCCAAAATTCTGGACTGCAGATTTATCAAGGTTGTGGGACCGCACAAGGTGTCACCAGCTGCATGCACCTGACTCCGAATTCGGGAGCTCAATGGGTCAAGATTTAGCCTAGTGCGCAACTGCAACTGCCAGCACCTTTGGAAATTCCCTGCCACATTTACTCTTGCGTGTGACGAAGGCACACACCCTTGCATGGGCTACTAAGTTTCAAATGTGAAGTTTTGAGGTTGGTTTGAGTCTACACTGATATATCCTATTCTAATTGATTGTTTTGGGATTATTTGAGCCTGAATTCCAGTCAACATCATATTTCAAACAAGAATTTTGTTGTCAAAGAACTTTCAGGTTTGAGTTTACAACCTTTAGAAATCTCAAAAATACCATTTCCCTTTGTAGTTTCACTACAACGATATAGAGAGACAAAAATCTGACAAGCAAAATGTTAGAAAATGTCATACCGAGCATGTCATCATCATACTTGGAAGGTAAACCATCACACCTTTGAGCCGTTCCCCATTGCATTCTATAGCAAGTATTGTGCTCGATCACTGGTCTATGGCTCCAATCTCCTCTAATTCTAGGATTCAGATGCAAAATCTTTGGTGGATCCTCACCAACAACGGACTTTAAACCCTGTAATTCAATCATAAATTGGGAAACCAAGACTAATGCATCGCCAGCCCTTGTTTTGGCAAGCTGCGGTACATACTCATGATGCGCATAATGAGGAGTACCAATAAGTGTTATAGAAGAACCTGCTGCAAGCCCACATGGTAGGAACATAAGTTGATCTGTTTTAGCAAGTTGTGCTCCACTAGTAGAAACCCATGAAGGGCATGACTCGGGCTTCCCCTCGAGAATTGAATTCATCTCAATCCCCTTCTCCTCGTATTTATCTAATTCTTCCCAGGCTTTCGAGCCTAAAGTCCAAGCTTCATCAGCCATTCTATCCAAAACAGAAAGATTTCGCTCCATATTTTGTTGTTTCATAATAGCTGCAGTAATTCGACCATAGTGAAGCTTACGGGGCTTTTTATGGGGTAACACTCCATTTTCATTTTCCTCTTCTTGCGGTGTCACTAGTGCATATTGGCTTAAATTATTATGAAATCCAGAAGATGATTCTCCACCATCATCCTCGACATCTAGAGCCACATCTGCAGCAGCAGCATCACCACTCAAAGCTGTAGCGCTCTCGAGAAACTCTGGGAACTTCACGCAGATGAGGATCAAGTAAAATGCAGCTAAACCTAGCAAAATATATGACAATTTGAACCTCCTCACACTTGAAGCCTCATTTTTCAATCTCTTCATCATTATAATTACAAACCTAATAAGCACACACAATATCCCCTAAAAACTCCACCACTTCATCGTTAAAAATCTGTCAGAACCACCAAGCTGTCAATTGGCAAACACAACAAATCATAAATGCGATACTGAGCCGAAAGCAAATACAATCTGCAAATAATTCACTACAGCAATACAGAATAAAACAAGTTATTTGACCTCAATTGCCCAGCATTACACCATATCCAGGACAGTTTTGGAAAAAATTGGCTCAACAATAATGTTCACAAAGCCAAAGGTGCAGAATGCCCTATAAATGTGAGGGCAAAAATGTGAAGAAACTGGAAGAGATCAATCCTGGAGAGGGATAGGGAGACAAACCCTAGTTTAGTAAAGAAACAAAAATAGAAACCGTAGCTTTTGGGTCAAGGAGAAACAGCAGTTGATTTGGTTGTTGACACAAGGAAGAACGGAAAGTCATTGTGAAGAATAAATCAGGAAAGGAAATTTAAAACAAAAGAATCAGAAAAGGAAACTTCCCCAAATATTTGTGGAAAATGAGATGGTACCTTTGTCCCTTAAAACCTTGGTTAGTATAGTGACGATCCACGACGGACCTTATATTATTGATCGTTGTATCTTTAATCTAATAGTCCTAGTTACCGGTAGTTCGTGCTGAGCATAGGTCCAATGAAATTATGCTAAACGTAATTTTCTTTTCATTTTATAAGAACTTTCATGTTTTTGTCCATGTTCAAACGACTAAAAACATAATTTTTAAATATACAATTTTGTTATAAAATAAAGACCGTAAATTAAAGACAAGTATAGAGAGAAACTGATATATTATTCGAATTCAAACTTGTTTGACCCAAAGTAAGTTAATACTTTCTAAGCAAATCAATCAATATAGATGAAGGGGTAAATCTTAGTCAACATTAATTGATACTGGATCGAAGAACATAATCATACAGATAGAAGAATCAATTAAAATGACACCTGGAAGATTTTTATTGATTATAGAAACTTGACCTGCCTCTCCTTGAAGAGGTTCAGGAGATTACAATCAAATTCTTTTTCTTCTCCTAGGAGGTGGAATCTCTTTTCCTCATATAGTTTCCTCTCCCTGTTTTTCCTGGAGCCCCCCTTAAGGGGTTCTTCTTCCTTCTATTTATAGCCCAAAACTCCTCATGCTGCTCACATGTTGTTAGGGCCGGGTCGGGGAAATGACCTCCCCTCGTGGGGGGGCCTCGACCTCGACACTTATGCCATAAATAGCAGCCGTTAGGCGAGGTCGAATTTGCTGACTGCTGTTGCAGGATGGTCGGGACGGGGTCCTTGGTACTGTGGTCGTGTGGTCGGATTCTGACCAATACAGTTAGTCCCTTCGTTCGTCGGGGTCGTATCTTACCGACCTCGGCGGACGGATAATGTTTGCGGCGTAATCGTGGAGGGAGTCAGATCCGCGTGTTTTTCTTCGGTCGTGTTATAAATTTCGAAACTGCCAGTAGGCGTCTCTTTAATGCTTCTTATGCCGTCACGATAGTTTCGAAACCGAAGAGCCGGCTGATAAACGAAACGTAGCTTTGTATCGGTGGTCACAATGGCGCACGTTCCTGAGGAGCTGAATCGTTTCGTGCCCGTGCTAGGTTCTGGCGGTGACCGTTGGTTTTTGCGCCCCGGAGAATTTGTATCTTATAAATTGAAGGGATTTGCCACTCGTTTCTCACACTTTATTGCTTATCTTCGAGAGAATTCCCAAAATATCTCCCTTTCTATTAGTCTGAGCTCTTCTTGACTCCTTTGCTCGCGGTAATCTTGAGCTTTCTCGCTTCTTCCTCAAAGTTCCTCCCTCCTCTTCTTGTGAGTTAAAAATGACAGGAACTTCTTCTTTCGGTAGACTTCCGGCTATCTCTCCGGTGGTCGGGGACCCTGCTTCGGCAGATGGAGACGTAGACCCGATGGAATGTGAAGATGTTCCTTCGATCGAGGAAATTTTATCCCGCCCGGGGAAGGCAGTGGTGGATTTTAGCGCCGATGGTGGCGCGGAGCAGGTAAATATTCCTCCTCTCATAGGGGAGATCGAAATAGCGGATTTAAGGGCACGATGGGGTATTCCTGGTTATGTCGAGATGGTGTCAGCGAAGAGAGAAGATAGGGTCCAGATCGACCGTCCCGGGTTCTGCTCATTCTATGCTTACCCCTTCTTAGTGGGGTACACACTTCCGCTTCCGATGTTGGTGGTCGACTTCTGCCGCTATTATGAGGTGTGTCCTGCCCAACTCTCTCCTTACCTGTACAAGTTGTTCCTCATGTTTATCAAGTACGCGGAGCTAGCCGGTCGGGAGGTCACTCTGAGACACGTGCTCAGCCTGTTCGCCCCTCAAAAGATTTGCGGCACTATGATCCATGTGTGTCCCCGAGGGTCGAAAGGTTTAGTGGTCAAGATGGACGACAGGACCAATCGCTGTTTTTTCGACAACTTTTTTTATGTGCGGACCGAGCATCTCGTAGCGGATCCGACTGGGTTTCCAGAAGTGTGGAATTTCGCCCGTAAGTCTTCATCCTTGACTAGTAGACTACCCACTTTGATCTATTTCGATGCTTTGCAGCAGAGAAGTTACCCCCGCCTCCTCTGGAGGGGATCCGAGAATGGGTCGAGGCCATTCTTCCTTATACGGCGGGAGTTCGTACATGGTCGACGTTTCATCTGAGATTCGGACATAGGCCCCTCACAGGTGAGATAGCGCCCTTATTTCTTTCGTTTCGATCTTACCTTTGTGTTGTTTGTCGTGGCCAGGGAGGATTCGCAGAGTCAGGGTTCCTCAGCTAGCCTTCCGTAGGCTGTCCACGTCTGCTCGTATCAGTGCGGTAGCTGCAGCTCGTCCGTCGAGGGAGGCATCGGTAGAGTCTGTGGCCTTGCCCGCTCCGTCCTGGACTGTATCTCCGGAGGAGGGTCGGTCTAGTACCGTCCGTCCTCAGAACGACTCGCCATCAGCCGGGGAGGAAGAAGGGTCGACAAAGAGGCGGAGGGTAGGGTTTGAGATGGTTCCTCCGCCGGTGATCAACTTGGATTCACCCCCAGAGAACCCAGAGGAAGGAGTTGTTGCGACGTCTATCGCTGAGGGGGAGCAAGTGGTCAGGGTTGATCCCACCATTCAGAGCCAGGAGAAATCTGTTGGTGTAACGACCCAATCAGGAGTCCTTGTTGTTTGTGACGCAGGACCTCCCGTTGTGGCTGAGAGTCGGGTTCCTGATGCTGTCGTCGTGTCCTCGACCGCACCGTTGCCACCCTCGGCCGGTCGTGCCGCACCTTCGGCATCTGAGAGGGGGAAGGGAGTAGTGATCGACGAATACGAGTCCGAGTCTGACTTGGACCCTGATAACGTCCGGATGTTCGAGGAGGGCATTACTCGCTCGGTGGTCAATGCGGAGGGGTCGGCTCGTCTTGTTGAGATCCCCTCCGATGTGAACCTGTTGACACAAGGAGGCAACTTGGTGCCACAATTCAGCTTGTTGTGTTCGGAGGCCGAAAACGAGTCCTTGAGGAATGTTGAGGTAATGGACGAAGTAGCTGTGATGGGCTTACGGGTATGTTATATCTGATTTCGATTTGTTCCTCCGTCGTTGCAGAATGAGCATTAGTTTAACTGCTTTCTTGTTTTGCAGACGTACATGTTGGAGGTAGAAAATATTCGCAGGGCTAATGTCCGTTCGAGGATCTTTTTGCAGATGCTAGAAAAATACCTTCGTTATCGCGATAGGTGACGTGAGTTGCACGAACGATTAAGGACTGATCCCCGCAACTAGGCTTTGGGCGAGGAGTTGGAGAAGAAGGAAAAGGAACTAATGCAGGCGCTCCGCAGCAAGAGCGAGCTCGAAGAGCAAATCCTCCTCAAGGACGAGGAGCTCGAGGTAGGCAAAGGGATCGCTGCGGAATGCGAGCAACCTGCAGGGCAAGTTACGAGCAATGCGATTGGAAATGGAGCATAGCCAGGCCAGAACAGGAGATGAATGCCGAATGGAGCGGGAAGTTGGCTGCGCTGGAAAGCACGATTGCCGATTTGAAGCGTATGGAGAGGGCGGCGTTGGATGCTTCGACGAGGGCAGCGGCCTTGGAGGCGGCAATTCGTGTGCATGAATCCGAGCGAGAGTCGGAGAGAGCTACTGCGGCCCTTAAGGAGGCGAGGCTCGAGGAGCGGATTGGCGCTACTGACATGGAGGCTTTGGCCTTGTCAGATCGGGTTGCGGCCATGGAGGAGGAGAATCAGCGGTTGAGGGCCCATGCTGGATCATCCCGTGTCGCTGCTCCCCGCCAGGCTCATGAACTCTGGGTTTACGCTGAAGCTCAACGTGATATCTTCAAGAACTTGTGGGAGGTGGGCACCGTGCCAGAGGCAGCATTCGAGGAGGCGCGCCAGAAGGCTCGTGAGGCTCGAGCCAACTGTGGATATGATGTGGCGATACCCGAAGTTGATGGGGACGCCAGTGGCGATGATGATAACGACGACGTTGGCGCCGTGTGAGAGAAAATCGTATTTAGTTATTTGTTGTTTTTTTTCTTTCCTCCTCTTTTTTTCTTTTTTCTTTTTATTGGCTGGCCTAGATCAGATGTAAGCGGCAATAGCCTGCACTTCCGACTTCGTGAATAAGGAATTCTTCTTCGCTTCTTGCTTTATATTTCAGTTCTCTGGTGACTTACGATCTATTCGCGGGGTAGGGGCTCGTCAGACGAGTCCGCATTTCCCTTATGTGATGAAAGTTTCTAGTCGTGGGTTTCATTGTGAACCTTTCGAGAGGATAACTCGTCAGGGTTTGAGCGAGGTCGAACCTGTCGCTCCTTGAGGGCATTCAGTCAGCCTGAATCCCCGTTCGAGCGAGGTCGAGCTGTCGAGTTTTGACGATGAAGGCACTTATCCTGTTTCAGTTCGAGCGAGGTCGAACTATCGAGTTTTGATGGCGAAGGCACTTAGCCTGAGTCCCAGTTCGAGCGAGGTCGAACTATCGAGTTTTGATGGCGAAGGCACTTAGCCTGAGTCTCAGTTCGAGCGAGGTCGAACTATCGAGTTTTGATGGCGAAGGCACTTAGCCTGAGTCTCAGTTCGAGCGAGGTCGAACTATCGAGTTTTGATGGCGAAGGCACTTAGCCTGAGTCCTCAGTTCGAGCGAGGTCGAACTATCGAGTTTTGATGGTGAAGGCACTTAGCCTGAGTCCCAGTTCGAGCGAGGTCGAACTATCGAGTTTTGATGGCGAAGGCACTTAGCCTGAGTCCCGGTTCGAGCGAGGTCGAACTATCGAGTTTTGATGGCGAAGGCACTTAGCCTGAGTCCCAGTTCGAGCAAGGTGGAACTGTCGAGTTTTGATGGCGAAGGCACTTAGCCTGAGTCCCAGTTCGAGCGAGGTCGAACTATCGAGTTTTGATGGCGAAGGCACTTAGCCTGAGTCTCAGTTCGAGCGAGGTCGAACTATTGAGTTTTGATGGCGAAGGCACTTAGCCTGAGTCCCAGTTCGAACGAGGTCGAACTATCGAGTTTTGATGGCGAAGGCACTTAGCCTGAGTCC